GTATGAGTTTAAAGCCAAATTTTAGGTTGATTTGTTATAAAATCAAGGTGATATGATTCTAAAATTTTAGCATATTCCAATAATAACTTGCCATAAGATATTGATGATAATTTGGCAAATTGGTATGTATTCTTCTTGAAAATCAGAAAAATATTTGAACAAATATTGGTTAATAAAATTTAAAACTTTTAATTTAATTCTAGAGAATCAATTTATGAATATGAACGATAAGGTAACCGACAATAAATCTAAAAGAATTAATATATATATATATATATATATATATAGGGTTGGGTTCAAGTGAGAAAGAGTCTTAGTGAAAGAAATAAGAATACATCGTGACCATTGGATCGAATGATCTAATTGCTAAAAAAAATTCACATGTTGATACTCATTAAGGGTAATATGAATATTTTACACATCCCCATTAACTAAAACTAATACTCTCAGTGGGCCCCACGTCATAACCCAACAACCCAAATTACAACAGTGGGCCCCACCTCCTAAATCAACCACAGCATATGTGCACTCTCTCTCTCATCCTGTCAATCCAATTCCCGTCACTACCGCCGGCGAACAGCAGCCGCCGGCGAGCCGCTACCTCCGAGAGCCCAAACGGTTGTCCATCAGCACCGCACCACCAATCGCCGCTGTTCTCGACGGAGCCGCCACCGCCAGCCTGCAGCTTCTTCTCCACCTCGACGGGGACAAACACACACCACACACACATCTCGGCCTCCGCCTAACAACGCCGCCCACCATCGCCACCACCACCGCATCACAAACTCCGGCTGACTCTCCAATCAACGTCGCACTCCGTCCGCTATCTCCAGTCGGCGGTGTTCCCTGAAATAAGTCTCATCGCCGAAAAATTCAAAACTTTATCCTCCTGCAATTTTAGTCTCCGTCATCGTCTGAAACCCGATCTTCCTCAATGTCCATCTCCGACGTCGCCTGAAAACACACACGTTGAAAATTCAACGGTCGCCGGCTCCACAGATCTTAGCCTCCGCCCCTTGCCCACGGCCTGTGATTCGTCACCACCTATTCCTCGTCGGAAGAATCTAAACGACACATCTGTAGCGGAGTTGGAATGGTGAAGACTGAAGTGCAAGGATTTTTCTTTTAGGAAGAAGAGCAGCGATTTGAGCATAAATTGTGGGGCACAAATTTGTAAATTAGATAAGATTGAAGGGTTTAATTGCAAATGTAGATTATTTGTATAAATTTCAATTTAAACCTTGGGCCAAATCTATAATTTATAATAAATACATAAAAAATTATTTTTTTATATATAAAGTATATATATTATTTATTGTAAATCAAAAAATAACATAAAAATATTAAATAAATAATATTAAAATACTATATATAATTTTATAACATAAATAATAAATAAATTTGATTATTTAGGTACATAAACAATAATTGCACTGCACGTTAGTGATTGTCGGAATGCACAACAATGTTAGACCAAAGTCACATTAATGATATGATAATGCACATTAGTGAATATCAGGTTGCACTATAACTGTACATTAATGCATTCGAAATTATTTTTTTGTAAAAATATTCTTATGTATTTTCATCAGATAATATTATAAAAATACTAAACAAAAGTTCAAAATTACTAAATATATCATCATTACATGAGTTATATAATAAGTGTAAAATAATGTTAATTAAAATGCACATTATTAAAGTTTTCTAAAATTGAAATGCACATAAAAATACCCGTTCAATAGAATACACAAGAATGCTATACTAGATGCACGTTTGTGTACCCGTGCTTGCACTTTATTGATTTTGGTATTACATATATTATATTTTTCTCAACAAAAAATAATATAAAAATAATAAATAATATTATTTTTTCTCAACATATTAAATATAAATTTAATATAAAGAACAAATTACTCCAATTATTTAGGATAATTCGGTTAACTGAATCGAGTAAACCAATTAATTATGATCAGTTTCAATTTGATTTATAACAAAAGTTCGGTTTGTTCAATCGGCACAATATAGACCGACACTCTGCACCGTAGTGTTGGACGAATTGCACATTAATAACCAATAGATTGCACATTAAAGTATTATGTAGATCCCTTTTTTTGAATTTATGTTGCCTAATATTTTGGTGGAAGCTGTTGACATTAATTGTGCAGTGTGGTAATAAAGTGCAACGTGTTGTTTTATAAAGTGCGACGTGTTGTTTGATAAAGTGCAGCGTGATGATATATAAAGTGCAATACTTTATATGATCACAAATAAAATATTTATTTTTTAAAACTAAATTTAGTAGATATAAGTGTAGATCGAATGAAGCCAAATAATTGAAATAATTTATTATTACAAATGTATATTTATTATTTTAATATTTTTACATATAAATAAATAGTGACGGTCACTAATGTGCAATACATCTAATACTAATGTGCACTTCAAGTGCAGCTATTTTTAAATGATTCGTCCCACACCAAACCAAAAAAAAACGAGGCAATCGATTTATAATGTAAAAATATATTTATTAATTTAATATTTTAGTTAATAAACTAAAATTTTAAAAGTAACAATAAATAATCGAACTAAAATATAAAATTTAAACCCAAAACTTTGTATGTCCCTTTTGACTGCTATAGTGCATTCTGGTAGTCACGGATGTGCAATTCGTCTAACACTAATGTGCACTCGAAGCGCAGCTATTTGTATAAAAATATATTTAGTATTCTAAAATTTTATTTAATATTTTTAGACTATTTTTGGTTGAAAAAATATGATATATACATATGTATAAAAGTATAAAAATATATATAAAAATATAATATTTTTTATATATTTTATATAAATTGAAAATTTTTCCCATGGGATAAATTGAACTATATCAAAACTCTTGAAATTTTAATTAAATTATAGATTTGACCCTAAGAACTAAATTGTAATTTAGATAAAAATTATTATCAAAATCTACATTAAATTTCCAATCTCACTTCTTTCTTTTTCGGTACAAAATTTCCAATCTCACTTCGATGGCTCATCTCCTTCCCAAAAGCTTCGCCAGCCATAGAGCATCTGCCGACCTTCTCAGCCACGCGAAGACCTCGCCGATCAGCCACATCCTCACAAATTTAATTTAGATTTTGTGTTTGGCAAATTTATGTTTGGTTTTGTATTAATCGAATTTGGCCGGTAACTTGCTGTGCTTGCTGGAATTATTCAAGCTCATCGGCGTCAGTGAGTTTCTTCGTGGGCGGCCGAATTTCGGCCTCCAAACGCTCGAAGTCGGATGTGCTCGGCGGTGATTTAGATTGCAGCCGGAATTTCAGTTTTTGACGTGGATCTAACCGGAGGTAAAGGGCGGACGGCGGCGTTGATTGGAGCAGTAATCGGAGTGTTGGAGGCGTACGGAGGTGCAGCGGCGGTGGTCCGACAGCGGTGCAGCGGCGGTTCCGATGGTGGATGGCGAGCACCGGCAGGGGAGTCTCTGTGTGTCGTGAAGTGTGTGCGTGTGTCGGAATTTGTGTGTGTGTGAATTGTGTTTGTGCGTGTCAATGTTGAGGAAGACGATGGCAGGTTGAAAGCGACAGCGCCGACGGTGGCTGATGGCGGGGGACCGGCGGTGGTGTGCGTGTGTGCGGGACTGAAAGTGTGTGTACTGTGTGGGGTGCGTGTTACTGTGTGTACCGTGTGTGTGAGTAGTGTTTGTGCGTGGAAGACTATGTGAATGGGATATGGGGCCTACTTGACACATTTAATGATAAATTGTCTATTATACCCTTAATGAGTGTAAGAAATTGAGTTTATTAGGACCATTGGATGATCAGATTTTGTGGTCCAGATTTATTCTCATTTCTTTCATTGAGAATCATTCTCATGTGAGCGCGACCCTATATATATATATNAACTTGATAGTCAAAATAAGTAATTATTCATAACTACGGGTCAATATTAAAATTGGACGTAAATGGAATAGTGGATTATTTATATTTTAATAAGTTACTCAACTACTCAAATTATTTGATTTGGATAGTTTATACAAAAATAAATTTATTTTAATTAATGAAACAATATAAGTTTTATAATTATATTTATTATTCACATAGATATTTAATATATGATTAAATTTTACCGAAATAATTATTTTATGGAATCACACTGCAGTCACATCGAATTTCTGAATAAAAATTTTAAAATGACACTTATTTTGAAATAAATATAATGTAACTTATTATTAGTTATGTGCACCGTACGAGTTGTATACTAATTTTAAATAAACATGTTATATGTAACTTTGCACAATTTATTTTATATTCAATAAATTAATATAGCTACATTGTATTACATATTGATTTAATATTTTAAATTTATAAATATTATTTAATGAACATTTTTAATTTATAAATATTAACGAATATCTTACGCGTATATCGCACGGGATCCATAATAATGTTTGCTTGGAATAGTTTGTGGATTAATGTGAAATTTTAAAAAAGTTCATAATTTTACATGCAATTATAACCATAAATTTATCTGATTTTACATTTAGTTCGATACATAGTTTATATTGGTAAATAAATTTAAAGGCTCTCTTAAATTTCCCAAAAAGTATAAAAAGAGTAATTAACATATAGAAGATGAGAGGGTGATTATTAAAATATATATTGTAAAAATATAATATACAACTTTGACAAAAAAATTGATTTGATGAGAAAAAGATATGACATAAATATAATTGTTATTAATTAATGGTTCTGTATGTAAATATACAAAATATATAGAAAAAAACGTGGCACCCTCACAAAGCCTTCTGCAATTGACACACTACATTTCTGAGACCTCGCAAGTACGCACCCCGTCTCTTCGCTTGCTTTACTTTCCTCAACCCTTACTCCGCCCGCTCTTTTCTTTCTCTTTTGTTTTCCCATTCACATATATCTCCGCACAATTTTATTTTTTTTACAAAAAGTCCTGCCGATTCTCCTGCGGCGGAGCAGGGAGCAATGCAGCACAACGACGGAGGAGCAGCGGCAGCGGCCAATACGGACGCCGCTCCCACGAAGCGGACGCGTCGGCCTAGCGTTAGACTGCATGAGCCATATTACGAGAATCTCCCTGGCCAACGCAAGCTGCATCGTCAACTGAACCCTATCAAGAAACTTTCCGAAGGAGTCAAGAAACCCAGAAGTGTGAGGACCCAGCTCGCGAAGAACCAGAAGAATGATGGCCCAATTAATGCCGGTACAGGTGAGAAATTGGGGAATTTCAATTGCGATGATGATGTGGCTATTGGGAATTGGAGGAATTTCAACACCTCCAATCGGGATAGGGATTTCAAACGGAAGCGGGTTAGGCCCTCCGATTCCGAGAAATTTGTTTCCCGAAAATCTCGCAGAGTGGGAGTTGAGGAAAATCAGAATTTCCAATTGTCTAGTGATGGTGAGAGTGAAAAACAAGGAGAAGAAGAGGAGGAGGAGGAGGTAGAAGAAGAAGAAGAGGAAGAAGAAAATGGTGAAGATACCAATAACAATTTGGTAGTAGAAAACACTGACCTGTCTACCCCTAATTCATCTTCTGGTGGTCACGATGATGGATATGATAATTTGAGTGGTGATGACAACAATGTGAATAACAAAAAGGGATTCAAGAGGAGGGGTTACAAGAATAGTTTGGATTCAACTGAAATAGCAAGGGGTGTTAGGACTACAGAAGGGGAAAGGAATGTGAATGGTGTGAGGGCATGGTTAACTGAACTAGGGTTACAAAAGTACACTCCCTTGTTTGAGATCCATGAGGTGGATGATGAGGTGTTAGCACTCTTGACTCTCGATGATCTCAAGGATATGGGGATTAGTGCAGTCGGGTCACGGAGGAAAATGTATTCTTCCATCCAGAAGCTGGTTAAACGGGGTTCGTGAACATCTTGGGAGGAGACCTTTTGACTTGTGCCTGTAGCAAGAAAGGCTTATAAAAGTGTGGAATTTTGGTATGTAAGTATATCTTCGTTCGTCTGGAAGCTTTCTTTTTCTGGCTTATGTTCTAACTGCAGTAGTGGGGATGCTATTTTGTTTTGGTTATGCTGCATAGGACGTTACTTGTGGTATATGTTTCTTGAATTTTGGTAGTGATTATCTTGCAGTGCAGCTTTTTTCAAATCTTCAGTAACAGCTTTTGGAGCTTAATATGATATCATCCTTTTTTAGTTCTGAAGAATGCCCTCCTGTTTCGTATTAGTTTATTCTGTGCAACTTTAGCTGGGCTCTGACCTTTTGGAATGAAAGCCTTCTCTGCCTTTCATCATCTTGACTTGGATGGATATCGAATTTTGTGCTATTCTTCAATTCAACTATTAGGTGTAGGGGTGGTAAATCGTGCTGTTGTGTCATGTTGTGTTTCACTATCATGTTTTTGTGTTATCTATTTTATTTGATCATAGATATGATAGTAAATATAAATTTAACTAAACTTCTTGTTTTGTACTTTTCGTGCTGTGTTCGGGTCATGCCATATCGTGCACGTGTTTTGTTGTTCTGGTCATTGACACCCTTAATAAGGTGCAGAAGTTTGCTATAAGGTAGAGTTGCGATTGTATGACCAAAAACAAGTGCTAATATCACATTGCAGTACGTATGGAAGTGGATGTTCCCTAATCTACCTTTTTATTGGTACTGAGAGTAGAGTAGGCTTTTGAAAGAATGTTTTATGGATTTGGGGCTGAATTGATTTGAAAATTCTTAGCAGTCCGCATGAATCAATTATGTTTATTTCATATTCTGAATGTGAATCGTGTCTAAGTGTGATGGTCTGCATGTGAATCTTGTTTTNTGCCGAGCTGATGCTTACTTCCTGTGACATGTTCATTAATTTTTCTTTCCTGGATATTTCTAATATGGCAATCCTTTTCTTTGGTGCTGTCACATGTTTGGACTCTTTTAGCTTCATCTTCTAGCTCCTCTGAGTTTGTTTGTATACTCATTTGGCAACAGACTAAATCCCTGTAAACACCATTTGGAGTTCTTTTCCTGTTGTTTTACATCCTTCTTCCAAGCTCGATCAACTGCAATCTATATTCTTTGTAGCGCATGTTCAAAATTTCAGACTTTGTCCAAGTAATATGCATAACCATTTATTCCAGACCCTGTCCCAAAATGTTATTATCGTAAGGTTGGGCTTTTTGTTGTCTGTCAGCCAATATCTGAATTTTCATCGAGGGGCTTCTGGGACTGTATATGTTCTAGTTCAGCCGACAATTCTTATATTATGTCTTGAAAATTTCGCATAGGATATTAAATATACAGCAGATGACTTATGGGAGGATAAATGGTCAATAAGATTATCAAATTTAGTTCGGTAGTCAACCTGAGATACTTGAACATACAGCAAATCAGTAGTTTCATTGCTAATTGTAATCAGAACTGTAGCAATTGCATAAAGAGTGTCATGCTTGAGAAAACCTAGGTTTTTGGTTCAGTATGCCTCTGTGAACTAGTTCCTATTTTCACGTTGTACCAAAAGCATATATCAGTGAAATTTAATTTTGAGAAAGCAGACGAAAAAATAACAAGTCAAGTTGCAATAGTTGTATTTATATATTTCAAATGTTGGATACTTTTTGCAAATACTATGATAGTTAGAGACTTGGTGTGTGTTAGGCTTTGCTGAATTTTTTTGCCATATCCATTGTTTGGTAGATTATTCTTCTGTTGCTGGCTTGTGTAACCTGCTTTTAGATTTGGTGATCCAATAGAATCTCTTTTAGTAGATTTGGTGGTCCAAGAAAACTGCACCTTGATGATGTCGAACTATGTGCTCTGATTACTCCTATTAATAGAATGTAATTAATTCTAAAACTATATGTAGATTAAATCTATATCTATATCTATCTATCTATACTATAAAATACTATAAAAAGACGCGTGTTTTTTGTAAAAAAAAAAAGGAACTATCTAAAATATCATTATTTTGATATATTTTTAATTGCAAAATAATATATAATACATTTTATCTTTTATTTTTAATTAATAACTAATATTTAATTAATTAAATACAAACACATAGTAAAAAAGAGTATTACCTAAAAAATCTTTATTTTGTCATATTTTAATGAAAAATTAACAATATACTAATGTTCATTCTATCTCATATTTTTAATTACTAACTAATATATAATTAATTTATTACAAATACACAAGAAAAACATTCCGTATTTTTTAAGAGTCTATCACAATATTCTCACATCATTATCATTCAAATTTGTTTTTTTCCACATATCTGTCAAACTGCTTTCTTTCTTATCTCCTCACAAAATCAACCCAATGTCAACTGAAATAATGATATATTGCCATTACTCATATATCTATTATTCTTATTCTTATAATAAAACAATGTTTCTATTAAAAAATGTTGGATATAAAAAAATTATACATTTTAGTATAATATTAATGATGAAATTGTAATTATATGTAATATAATATAAGGATATACAATTAATTGATATATTATAAGACATATGAAACAAANTAAAAAAAAAAAAAAATATATATATATATATATAAAATATAAAATTGTTAACATATATTTTTCAAAATATAAATAATTCGAACTTTGTACAAAACGAATTAACCAAGTGTTCTGATACCACTTGTTGGGATCTATGAGGTCTCGTTATGTACAAGTCACGAATTCAATAGCAAACGTAAATCTATACGCAACGGATCTAAAGATTTGACATAGAAAACTTACGGCTTATAATTTTCTGAATCTGTCGGATTCAGGATGATCGAGAATAGCACGTCACGAGGTTGCCAGGATCACACGGATACACGGAGATCGAACGGCGGGGTCGTGTCGCCGGAATCTTCGCGGGTCGACGGTTGGTCGCGGCAGTCGGCGGGTCGGGTCGGCGATCCTCGTCCTTCGGGTCGTGGTTCGTCGACTTCTACAGATGATCACGGGGTCTCGATTTCCTTTGGGATCTTCTACTGTATTATTCAAACACCTCTTCAACTCGTACTGTGGAGCAACAAGAAGAAGATAAAGCTCGAATGAGATCTAGAGAGAGATAAGAAGGGGCGGACCATACACGTTAACTATGTGTGTCTCTTCTCTTCTCATGAGTTTAACGATGTATATATAGAGCTACAATAGGGATCCTTAGGAGAATAGGAATAACACTTCTTAATTAATGAACTAACTGTGGGCCAAGCCCACTCCTCCAATTACTTAAATAATATTACGGTCCACTAACTTAATATTATTGCACTCCTTTTTTCTAGCCCAAATTATATTTGAGACTTCAATTATAATTACTCGAATTATCTCCCCATGTTTAAGATATAATGTCCATTAATTAATTCGATTACTGACAATCAAGAATTAATTAATATATTCTATAACCAAAGCCAGCGCTCGTTCATCACATTATTATTATGCCGAACTTAATCCACCTGCAGGGTTTAGCATCCACCTGCAGGGTTTAGCATAACAATCCTTCATGAACTCACTTCGGGGACATCATCAAACTAACGCACATGGTGACCGTAAATATCCTAACAGCACATCATACATACAACAATATTACCCAAGACAGTAAGAATATTAGTCCAGCGAACTGAACCTCACCCAAGTGAATCAAAGTAATATTTACTGCATATATATGTCTGTTTAATATCTTACGGGTTAAGAGAACACAGTAATTAACCGAGAACTAGTTCGTTTACGACGATCAGTATAAAACGAACTTCTCCTCTATGGGATCCTGTTGAATACATAAATGTACTAGTGCAACTAATCAGTCAAGACCATCTGTACCGTTAACACTACAACCGTTCAGATGGGGTGTTCATTTCCATCTAGGTTGTGAACTACAATTCTTGTTTCGCAAGTAACTGATAGAATGATTTTCTGTTCAGCCGATGATGACCCATTATATCTAAGTGCAAAACAACAAAACATAGAACTTTTTTAATCAAACATGATTTTCATTCATAAAGGGCAAAAGTGTAATATAATCCAAAGTCAAGCTTTTAGTATATAACACTAACAATCTTCCACTTATACTTAAAGCTTTCGATTTTACAAATATAGTCCTATCAATTTGTTATTCTAAAAGACCTATGTTGATCCTATTGCCATGCACCTGACTCCCATTCCTTCACGTCTTTGACAAAGACCTTCTCTAGCAAACTCTTCTTGAAAGGATCAGCTAGGTTGTCCTCTGATGCAATCTTGACAATATCAATGTCTCCTCTACCAACGATATCACGTATCAGATGGTATTTTCGCTCTATGTGTTTGCTTGCTCTGTAGGCTCGTGGTTCCCTTGAGTTCGCTACTGCTCCACTGTTATTACAATACACGGTGATACAACGTGGCAAACTCGGAATCACCTCTAAGTCCACTAAGAAGTTTTTGATCCAAACTGCCTTTTTCGCTGCCTCTGAGGCAGCTGTCTGCACGGTAAACTAACATGTACTTCTTAGTCCTCTTCAGATACATGAGTATATGTTTCAGCGCAGATCAATGTTTTCGTCCCGGATTACTTTGATATCTAGCTACCATTCCAACGGCGTAGCTAATATCGGCCTCATACACAACATAGCATAAGTAAGACTTTCTACTGCCGAAGCAAAAGGAACTATCTTCAAGTCTTCTATCTCTTGAGACGTCTTAGGAGACATCTCCTTGGATAGACCTTTTCCATGTTTGAAAGGTAACATACCCTTCTTGGAATCCTGCATGTTGAATCTAGCCAAGACAATATCTATGTATGTAGTATAGGATAAGCACAACATTCTCTTCTTACGGTCTCGAATGACCATAATACCAAGAATGTGTCTTGCTTCACCTAAGTCTTTCATATCGAACTGCTTAGACAATCACACCTTTACGTCTGATAACTCCTTCTTACTGTTTCCAA